ACAATCATGCTCAAATTCTTACGCCTCCATCCTCTCCTGTGCCAGGTGCGTCAGTACCTGAACCTGATCTTACTCCACAGATCGGTCTTCACAATACACGGAGAAAGAGAAGAAGAATAGCAAAATGCTATAGAGACAATATGAAATTAAAAGATCAACTTGAAGCAGCAAGACGACTCAATCAAAAGCTATACGTCCGCCTAAGTAGGCAAAGGAAGAATTTACCTTTAATGAAATGTCCTGATACACCAAGAACCAAAACAAACAAATTATTACGGAATTGGAACACAGAAAATAGAAAAATGAAGGGAAGTAGACGAAATAGACGAAAAATGAAAAACAAGGCAAAGACAACTCTCATGTTTCAGCTTTCATTGAGTGATGAACTGAAGGCAAAATATAGTCGAGCTAAAAGACAGCAACAGAAGTATCTAGCAGAGTTGACACAGGGAAGACTGCTTAAGAAATATAAGTTAATAGACAAAGCAAGAGAAGAACTTAAAATGAAAGCAGGTACAACTCGTTTTAAGAAAAGGTCATCGTCATACAGACTCGAACCGAAAATTTTTGAATTCTATGAAAGAGACGACAACAGCAAGATGACACCTGGTATGAAGGACACTGTGACTAAAAATGGTGTGAAAAAACAAAGGAGAATATTAAATGACTCTGTAGAAAAGTTACATGAGAAGTTCCTGATTGAAAATACAAACATAACTCTAAGCTACACAACATTTAGTCGACTGAGACCATTCTGGGTTCAACCCCCCAAAGAATCTGATAGGGACACCTGTGGTTGTAAGAAACATGAGAACATGCAGTTTCTTGTAGACTCACTATTCAAATTACAACATGTCGAGTCGAAATCTCTTTCTGATCTGATAAAAACTTTCAGTTGTGACATTAACAATTTAGTTTGTATGTATGGAAAATGTGAGAAATGCAAAGAAATAAATATCATTACAAACGACCAGGGAGACAATAATGAGGAAACATCCTGGCTGCAATGGAAAACAAAGAAGGAGAAAAGAAATATTAAAGGTGACGAGAAAGAAATCACTTTGACCGTCAAGGAAACAGTCACAGATAGCATTCATGTGTTGATGGATACCTTTTCTACAGAGATGCAAAGGTTCAAAATACACGCATTCAACATAGCAAATCAGATGAAACATTACAGAAATATCAAAGAAAATTTAAAGCCAAACGAAACACTCGTTCACGTCGATTTTGCTGAAAATTTCCAATGCAAATTAGCAAATGAAATACAAAGCATGCATTTTGGGGCATCGAAAAAGCAATTAACACTTCACACTGGAGTCTTTTACACTGCATTGAGTTCACAAACATTTTGCGCAGTGTCAGATAGTTTAGATCACAATCCTTGTTCAGTTTGGGCATTTATGGACCCCATTTTAGATAAACTTCTACAAGAAAACAAAGACGTTGACACTGTGCACTTTTTTAGCGATGGTCCGGCAACGCAATACAAGCAGAAGGGCAATTTCTTACTTTTTACGCACGAAATGACAGTCAGAAATTTATCTGGAGAATGGAACTTCCATGAAAGTGGACATGGAAAAGGAGTGCCAGACGGTGTAGGTGGTGCTCTGAAAAGACGAGCAAATGACCTGGTGCTTCATGGGAAAGATATAATAAGTGCCAAGTCTTTTGTGGAGAACTTCCAGAATTCTGCCGTATTTGTGTATGAAGTAGGACAGCAAGAAATAGACTATAAGGCAATAATTTTATCAAAGGAAACACTCAAACCCGTTCCAGGAACGTTAAAACTCCACCAAATATGGTACTCTGGATATGGAAATATACTGTACAGAGATGTGAGCTGCACTTGCGTGAAAGGCTCATTTCATGCAGGACACGATATGAAAGTACATTCCCTTATTAACAGAAAAGCGAAAACTAAAACAACGGAAAAACGGTCAAGTGAACAATCAGAAACAGAACACCAAGGAGCGTGCAATGATAAAGAAGGACACCGGGCACTACAATCACCAGAAATACAGGTACCTGAAGATAGGATAGTGGCTAGAAAGTATTATTTCTCGCGCACATTAACCGAACTTGGACAATGTCAGACATACGAAGAAATGCTAGAAAAATGCGAAAATATCTATCGAATCATAGATGAGAAGGGTTACAGAATAGACTATAATTACTCGCCAAGTATCACAAATACTGGGATCGAAATTGATGAAAGAACACATTCAATTCTGCCATCTGACATACCACATGATGTAACGCTGCATCCTGTCAAAGTCAGTGCAGATGGTAATTGTTTACCATACTCGGGAAGTATACTTGTCTCTGGAAAGGAGGGTATGAGTGAGGAAATTAGAGTCCGAATTGTTCTCGAATCCTGTATTTTCAAGGATGCATACTTGGATCAAGGTTTCTTGGAAAGGGGATTTCGGGAAAAGAATAATTCTCTTGCGAAAACTTTTGCGTTTTACTCGGATGAATATGCAAATGAAGCATTGTCAAATGGAGAAATCGAAAGGTTATATGAGAGAGAGGTACTGAAAATTTGCAAGAATAAAACTTATATGGGTATTTGGCAAGTATTTGCCCTAGCTAGTGTGCTATGTCGTCCCATATATTCGGTATATCCAAACCTTGGTAACCCTAACGTCAGAAAAGACCTTCACCGCATGATAAAACCCAGAGAAATAAAATGTAAAGAAACGAGTTTTATAATGTGGACGACAACGAGGCAAGACATGAGAAGGCAGAATTGGGTACCCAATCACTTCCTTGTTTTACTACCAATGGAACAAACTGGACAGAACGACTACAATGAAAATAGTACAGGCGTCAGTGATGAGTCGGTTGCAGGTGACGGCATTTCTTCCGACAGAAGAGATGAACTTAATAGTGGTAACGAAGATGTCGGTACAAAAGAACACACTGACAATGGCGATAATCTAGGCGGAAATAGACAAAACTATCTCAATGTCTCAGATCTAAATCCTCAAGATTTACTTGGACATTATGTACTAGTGGATTATGACAAAAAACCGTACCCTGGAATCGTAACAGATTGCGATGAAACCGAGGTGTTTGTAAGTTGTATGCACAGAATAGGAAACCTAAAAAATCCATCCTTTTATTGGCCTCTTGCAGTAAGAGATGAATGTTGGTACGGCATGGAGAACGTTTTGGGAACAATACCAGAACCCAAACTTGTTGGACAAAAGTACATCGTTGATGCCAGTCTTTGGAAACAAGCCCTTGAAATGATCAAAATGTGACTTAACTGATAGACCTCAAATATCTTTTTTAAAAAGTCATATAAGTTACAATGTGTCACTAGTGTTACTGTTTTTTATTATCATATTTCGAACCTAAAAGCAAAAATGACTCTGTTTCAATTGCAAGTTATCAATACAATATCTCAGGATGAAAATGATAGGATAGGATAGTAATTGTTTGAAAGAAGAAATTGGAAAATATCCTTGATGCCTTTTGTGTTAGAAAAAAAAATATCACTTTTGTTCCTTTATTATTCAAACCAATGAGGAGCATTTCTTGGTGTCAGATCAATATAGGTTTAAGATATGAATAAACAACAAACAATGTCATATTAAATGTTTCAAAGACATTGATAGTTTTTTTACTGTATCAAATATATTGTTTTTTTGTATGTTTGTCACTAGTGTTACTTTTTTCATTTTTGTGTTACCAAATTGTCACTTGCGTTACTGATAGAAAAAATACATGCTAAAGATGAACCCCTGAATTTAATTGATAATTGTTTTGCTTTTGGACAATGCATTGGCTGTTCATTTCATTCGAGAGAGAACGAATATTTTTATTCAACTTGTTTTCACATAAATTACCAAAGTTTATTACTAAAAATTTGGTTTTTCTGTGACTAATTTTAATTTAGAAAAAAAATATTCAAAAATCTTTAAAATTAGATAAAATATATTACATTCGAGTAATTTTCAACTAATAATCCTTTTAGAACGTTTACAAAGATGGTTTTGGATAATAAAGTATTTTTTTTCAAATAATTTGTTATGGTAACACAAGTGACACTTGCAGACAGCAAGAGGTACATTTTTTAAATTTTTGACATTTTGTGCATTCAAAAGTAATGCTCTATTATTTTTTCATACAGTTGAATAGTTCTGTGTTCAAACAAAATAAAATTTAAAAAGATATGAGTAATTTTATTTTTGAAAAACACCATAACGAAATATCTACATTTTTTGAAAATGACCCTTATGACGTCGTAAGCCAATCACAAAGTTTCGGTGAAAGTTTTTGAAAACATTATACAGATTATTTAAAATTCTTCAATGGCGAATTGTAATATGTTATACAAAAATTAACAGGGAAAGGTTCGTCGCCGGAATTTTGTAGATTTGGAAACCATCCGTTCGATTTAACTGCTGTAACAGTTAAAAACTAGAGGCTCTAAAGAGCCCGTGTCTTCAACAATGGTCACTTTATATTCAATTTAACTGATGTAACAGTTAAAAACTAGAGGCTCTAAAGATCCCGTGTCTTCAACAATGGTCACTTTATAAAACTGTAAAAAGAATAATGGATAATTTCTTTCATGTTAACATATTTGTAGATCTTATTCTACTGATTATTATTCTTTTTTAAAGTTTCCATTTATCTTTTAAGTTTTCAAGATAATATGCAAAAATGGGAAAAATCATCATAAAAGGGAATTTATTTTCTCTATTTATAGCGGTTTTCAAAATAATAGGCAAAACTTGCATTTTACCGCTATGTTCTATTTTTAGCCATGTCGGCCATATTAGTTGGCAGGTGGAGTTATCGACACATTTTTAAAACTATATACCCTAATGATGAGTGTGACCAAGTTTGGTTAAATTTTGGCTCAATAGTTTCAGAGGAGAAGATCTTTGTAAAAGTTAACAGACGACGACGGACGACGACAGATGAGAAAAGCTCAATTGGCCTTGCAGGCTATGCGAGCTAAAAAATAAACATCAAAGACGAAATAAAAAGATAAATGAATAGGTTTATTGTCATGAAACTAAACATGTATGTATCCAAATTGTTAATGACAAGGTAAACAAGTATACTTCCAAGTATGCATCTGAGTGGTCGAAGTATTTCTTTCGTGATAAACCATTAAAACTAAAGCTAAATGCAAACTATCATGGTTAGTAAAACTATTTATGATATAAGTATCAACTTAGTAAATGTCTGTTTTCTACAGTTTTAGTATAAAGTTCATCGAATATATTTTGTGTATTTCCTATTATAAATTAACTCCATTTCATGGCATATTATGCATGCAAAAGATTGCATCAAATGATATGCGTATTCAGAGACATTGTGTCTCTGGCATGGTCTAAAACCTGTCAATTTGAACTGTTATCGACGAAGATAAAATGAAAAACTATCTCTACATTTTACAACGAATATGCATCAATTAACGAAACAAATAGATACAGTATAATGAAAATACACGAGGGTCTGGATGGGTATCCTTCATTTCTTTATTCTTTAACATTTTAAAAAGCGTTTTTCTCTATCTTTTATTTTGACCATTATTCTCTATTCTTTACTTTTTAGCCCTATATTCTGTATTTTTCCCCATTATTCTCAATTCTGTAATCCCCATTCAGACCCTCGTACATGTTTTAATTAAAGGTTCTCTGGAAGACTACCATAGATCAAGTTTGCATATGATAATGTTGATGGTTTCAACTGCATATCATTACGCTGCATATAAATAAAAGGAGGCGAGGGGTTTACGTCAATGATATGGAAACCAAACGACAAAAAAAAAAGACCCAAACATATCATATCGTACCATGATTGACAGTTAGAAACAGACCAATGGAAAGCGCTTGCAAGTTGTCTTGATAATACTGACAATAATAATGTACTAAAATAAGATACTCAATAACATATATATATATATATACTGTCCCTTTGTAGCACGTGAATTGCAACTTGTGGTCAAATGTCAGAGTTATCCTTGAAGTTCTAGAACAATTTGTCAGTTCTCTAATACTTTATTCTCGCCATTTGTCAGTAACTTGTAAAAGATATCCATGAACGATACACATTTATTAAGAAAATTCGACGATTATAAATCCCGTGAGAACTATAACAGGTACAACGATACTACACTATTGAAAGAACAAATACATTATTACTGCGTTGTATCTTTCTCAGCGACTTGTCTACAACATTTCAAAGGTAACAGATAGTATATAAGTAATGCCTTTACGTTAAAGGTGAAGGAATCCGAATGCCGCTAGATGAGAAGTTGAAAATGATGGTTACGTTTCATCTTGTAACCGGAAGTTATCCACACAGTTTCGACAGTTATTCCTTCTTGCCACAGACACACATGCAAATACAAACAGCTAGACAGATAACTAACAACACTCCCATCACGATATAAGTAGAGGTGATTATCCAGAATGAAAAGTAATACAGCGTTGGATTGCAGTAATTATCCAAAATGGAATTACTGCTTTGCCAGGCATCGTATGTTCTGTACACCCATACATTACCTAAAAAATAATAGTAGTTATAACAAACTGTTCATTCAATTGATCTTAAGGTTACATGCGAATTCGATTTTACATATGCTTTCGCAAACTTTGTAAATGTAAACATGACTGTAATGATCATTATAAATAGTGTACTTATCAACCAATACAAAGCAAGTCATCTCCACTCCTCCCTATTCATACAACTTACCGCCATTTTTACCAGAGCATTTTTTCAACATCTCGTTCTAACTATATTTGTATAGCAAGACTTACATCTAATGCTCCAATACATCTCTTGTTTGTGATTCCAGCTTTTAATTGAGTTGCAAATAAGAATAACAAATACAAAATACAAAACCACGCATATGTTATATTCAACGTAGAACTTAATAAAAATATAGCGTGCAATATACCAAGCATTGAACTAGTGCAATATCTATCGAAAATGGACACGTCAACGTTAGTATTGTATGTCCTTGTCATGTGAAAAGGTTTAAACATATGATTAAAGGTTTATTGCACGAAAAATGAATAACATAATCCCTCTTTGCCAAAGACAATTTTCATTAACATATTAAGTCCAATAACTTTACATCATACCTGCAATGAACCAAGCAAATAGAAAACAGTTGATAAGTTGTTCGGGTCCAGCCCCTGACTGTTTCTCTTCCTCTCCGTCCTTCCTTTTATTGACCTGTCCTCTAATGATCATAAGTATGTTAGATACAATGTTAAAAACTCCTGCTACAATCAGGTATATGGGGATCATTTTTTCTGCCGGACAGTCATGTAAATAGGTTGCTCCTAAATAAAGAAGAATATATCAAACAATGCTAAAAGGAATTACGTATGCTGATGCATTTTGGGAATATAATTATATTTTGATGTTATTGATTAGCACATACCTCCCACGCTTTACGGGGATACTGAGATTGCGCACCGTAATGTTTGGCTATACGGCATTAACTTAGGACACTGAAACTGTTCACCATAACTTCTGGGTTTACGTCATTAACCTCGACACCGAGACAGCGCTCATTAATGAGGGTATAGATTGGGGGGGGGGGGGGGGGGGGGGGGGGGGGGGGGGGTTCCTTTATTTCTGTATTCTTTAATTTTTTATACCATTTTTCTCTATTCTTATTTTTGTTTTGCCCATTATTCTCTAGTGTTAATATCTTAGCACCTCATTATTCTCTATTCTTCATGTTTTTTGTTCATTTTTCTCTATTCTTTATATTCTAAGTCCAGTATTCTCTATTCTGTAAACCCCATCCAAACCGTCATTAATGTTAGATCTTGCGCCATATATGAGGACGATGAGACTACGTACAGTAATTTTTTGACCATGTGCCATTATATAAATAACACATAGATGAGAGGATGATAGAGCAGAATGTTACCCCGAGAAAACATTGTCAACCGAGGCGAAGGGTAACAATCTGCTCCATCACCCTCTCAGATGTGTTATTCGATTCATTATACTGAATGTTCTGTCATAACTGTCTTTTCAAATTGTAAATTGAAAGTAATTAACTTTGCTGTCATGTGCATAACAACGGTATAGTTATTTGAAAAACAATAAAAGTGAAGCAAGATGCATTTATTGTATATTGACAGTTTATGAAAAAGGTCTGAGGTCGAAACGTAGAATTTGAGCATTGCCTTTTAAATTATTGTTGCAAATTCAATTCACTCTCCACTAAATTAGCGATTTTTTATTGGTCTGCACGAGAAGGTGACATTCGAAAAATTGTTTACCGCTTAGCCATGGGATAGAGTAAATTGTCTCCCTCGTATTAACCAATCAACATCTGGCATTTAAACGTGAAGAATTGTAATCAAATTTATTCAATAAATTCTATTTAATATTTCCTCCTTCAAAGGTACAGTATGTTCATCCAACAGCCCTTACCATCATGGTATATTTAGGAGCCTGTAATTCAGTGGTTGTCGTTTGCTGCTGTATATCATATTTGTTTATCATTTATTTTTGTTTTGTTATAAAACAGGTCGTTAATTTTCTTGTTTGAATTACTTTCACAATTGTCATGTCAGGGCCTTTTATATATATATAGCTTGCTATGTGATATTGGTTTAGCTCATTGTTTAAGGCCTTACGGTGACCAAAATACAAAGTTTTGATACTGTATAGTTGTTATTTATAATGATTTATTTTAGCATACAGTTAAATAAATGATTTTTCTTTATTTAAAATCATCTGCGAAAATTATTTAACTCAGAGTAAACAGACCATTCTCTCAATGAGCCGCATAGAAGCCACGAAAACAGACCACAGTGAATTTTGTGGGTTATTTTTGTAAAGCATTCGCGAATCATTAAGTTCGAAAGCAGAAAGAGTAGCAGCTACTTACCTACAGCAATCATAGCTATTGGAATTGCCAAGAAAATCCCTAAACAGATAGTACATGCAACTGAAAAACAAAACATAATTCGTCAACACTATCTTTCCTACCTGAAGTTCCGACTCTATTTAAGAATCTCCATTCCTTACAAAATCAAGCAGTCTACATGTGTGTTCATGCAATCTGATATCATATATAACCATTTACCAATGTACTTACTATTTTTGGTGTATAGGGGTAGGTACATAACAGGTACTAAGTGTATTGCGAAAAACTACTAAATGTTGTTTTTTTGTTTTTTTTGTTTTTTCTCTCAACAGCTCTAAAGTTAAGGATGTTCGCTCCTCTTATTTTTTGAATTTTTGCCAGTTAATCGGAATCTTCTAGTTTTATCCATGTAGTACCATTACATTTTTTTACCTGATAACCCCTACTTTTCTTTTCATTATTTTATTAAATATAGTTTAAAAAGCTATATATGAAAATCTTAAAAAATCCTTGTTATTTTTTTCATAGCTTTTCAAAAAAAAACAAGAGCCAATGTTAAATGTATGAAAAATCTAGAGAGAATTATTTCCCGCAAAATTTTCAATGGCTTATATCTCGAAAAAAAAAAGCACACGGACCCTTCATTTTTTTCTGCATTTTTAGTTCCTTTATTTATATACTATCAATTGATAACAGTCTTTTAAAAAGCTTGTTATTTTGAAACAGAGTAGCAAAGATCCTTAAACTGTACAAGTTTTTTTTTCACCAGCTCTCTAGTTAAACTGTATAGGAGAAACAAGTTTCCCTCCATCAGCTCTATAGTAAAACTGTACAAAAGAAACCAGTCGTTTTTCCTTACCAGCTCTATAGTTAAACTTTATATGAGAAACAATGTTTTTCTCAACAGCTCTATCGTAAAACTGTATAGAAAAAAACAAGTCTTTTTTCACCAATTCTATATATAGTGGAAACCAAACAAAAGTGTTGTTGCTTAGCACAAATTTTCAACATAAGAGTAGTAAAAATGCTTCATCTTAATGAATACATATATATTTAAAACATGTACTTACCGGAACCTACTAAAATTCCACAGCATGTCTTGACAAAATCGACATTTCCATCTGATTCTGCCTTCGCTTGTTTTATCTTTCCAAAAAGGGAATCGTAAGATGGTGGAGGAGCTACATCTGAAATACAGTACCAGAAGTTGTACATCTTTGTAGAGAATATTCGGCCAACACATATATAGTTCTGTTTCTTGCCTCACTATATATATCTTCACTAAATTTTCAAGAGTACCCCAACACATTTTATAGACATTATTAATGAAGCACCGTTAAAGTGCGAAACATTTTTGGTTAAGCCCCGTAATAGTCCATTACATTTCATTTAAGAATTAAATGCTTCTTTTTGTAATTTTATTGCGGTGTAAAAGTCTGACCGAAGCTCATTTTAGATTATGATTCTAGAAATGTGCGCACGATCAACACTTTTACAACCCTATTAAATTGCTAAAAGAAGCATTCAATTCTTGTAATTAAATTTTTATGCCAGGGTCATGAAAAATCGATTTCTACCAATTATTTCTTAAATTAACCTGTGCACTTTATTGTGATGGCACGTGTCATCATAAATGTTACACTTCATTGGGATATGAAGGTTAATTTTAGTATGACGCGCAAGCGTTGTTATCCAATCAAAATAACGAATTCTTCTGAAACATACATGTAATGTAATTATATATACGTAAAGTGTGTGCTACTTTAATTTATAACGAATACGATTTTTTCTATTTTTAATCTTCTTCTTTTTCGTTTTAAAAGTAGGCGGGTCTTTTTTGTTGCTTATTTTTTGTTGTTGTTTTGTTGTATTGTTTTAGAGGATTTATTACACTTTTGGTTGCTTTCTCAATGCTGGTTATCACACACACTATGGTGCAATTAATCTGAACAAGTTAACATATCTAAATCTTAGATACATTAGTTTTTTATTAGTGGTTATTGGACTTGAACTAGCTGTCAGTAACTGCGAGTACTCTCAATCTTTACTTAGTGTCTTTTTTTGTTGTGGGATGTATAAATACGCTGCCACGTCCGGTCTGTGTTTTCGTAAGATGTTTTCTGCTGTATTTGATCTGATGAGTTAAGCCTTTTTCAACTGATTTTTTTTTATAGTTGTGTTATATTGTTACACCACTCAGGGACAGTTTATACTAGTATAGACTGTCCCTGCACCACTGTCCCATGTTAGGGGGGTTGGGCGCCAGCAAACTAGTTTAACCCTGCCATATTATGTTTGTGCCTGTTCCAAGTCAGGAGCCTGTAGTTCAGTGGTTTTCGTTGGTTCATGTCTGTCATATTTGTTTTTGGCAAACTGTTCTGTTATAAATTAGACCGTTGATTTTCTCAATTGAAATGGGTCATATTTTTTATGTCGGGGTCTTTTATAGTCGACTGTACGGTATGTGTTTTTTCTCATTTTTGAAGGCCTATAATTACAAAATGTACTTACATTCACTTCATTTGAACGTTTGTGGATAGCTGTCTCATTGGCAATCATACCATATCTCCTTATTTTTACAAGAACTGTTTGACCTTCTAAAGCAATAAGTTCACAACATGTTTGTTTGGGGGAGGGGTTCAATCTCAATCTTAAAGCTTTCTGGGAAATGTCGTTTAAAGTATAGTTTATCATTGTGTTTTCTTTTCTTTTGTTCATGGAATTTGTTTTCTCATTTATCTGTTGGTTATTAAATTACGATTTGCTAATGTGTTCTCCACCTTGGCATGTTTTTGTTCCCTTTTATAGAGAATATGTACATGTGTCAATTCTAGTAAAGCTTCATATTTAGCAGTCTTGCTGCAGTAGTACTCTACATTTCAACATGTACGTCAAGCAGCAATCAGTGGCGGATTCGGAGGGGGCATAACGGGCATTCGCAAATTACATTTTATTTGAAATTTGTCTTCAAATGTTCTAAAAAATTGCCGGCAATCATGTGACATAATAAATATCCTCGGACCCCTAAAATATATTATAATGATCAGGAACCTATTATGGTTCTTATTTTAGGCATAGGGGTACATGTAAATCCGTATATATTGCATCAGTCCATTTAAGAATCAATTCATGCAAAATGTAATTCCTTACCATAACATTATTTGATATCTCATTAGGATATAAACATATGTTAAAACTCATCTATAGTTTCCATATGAATCCATACCAGTTGGGAGATATAAATTCTACAGAATGCATTAAAAAACTCATGTTGTGGGAGCTAACTCCAAAAATATCCTATAATATATTTAGAAACATACATGCTAAATTTCTGTCCAGGTTAGGCAGTAAATGGTAAATATTACTCAATCTTTTCATTAGCATCCATATAAATAAAACAAAAGTATAACTCAATGTTAAAAATAAACATTTATAACTTTTCATTGGTGTATCACAAACTTTTTTTTCATAAATCTAAGGAAGAATTTGAAAAAAGGAAGGACAGCGTATTCTTAAATTTTAGTGTTGCATGATACTTAAATGGACGACTGCTTAAACCAGTTCATTGGCGGATCCAAAAGGGAGGGGGTTTCAGTGGGTTGAACCCCTCCCTTTTTTGGATTATTTTTAATTATGTGAATGTTTTATGGTGTTTCGGAGGTTGGAAGACCCCTTTTCAAAATGGCTGGATCTGCGCCTGACTAGTGTACCTTTTGCATCCACATATGAGGGTGGAGCGGCTCCAGCTTCTGCTGCCTTCAGTTCTGCCCCTTCTGTAGCCATTGTCTGAAATATAATTTGATTCGTAATTATACAAAAAAGACCATCCAGTCCAGGCTAGGACAACTTATCATTATAATACAACAAGCGCTTGGACCATGGACCCCATTTCTCGATTCTTCTTTTATGTATTAAATTTTGTTTAATCGACATTTTTTAATATTTTAACTTATTTTCACTTATTGAACGTGTGTTTCCTTTTATCCAAATATATAAGATATTACAAATATATCATTAGTCTATTAACGGAAAAAAAAAATTAAAGAGAAGTATATTATAATTATGCGTATGGTTAAGAGAAAGAGCACAATGAATAAGTGAAAATAAGTTAGAAATTTTATGAATCTTTAATAATGAATATTGAATGCTAAAACAAAGTAAAACAAGAGGCTGTCAGAGTGACAGCAAACCGGATTTTCCTGCAGAGGTCGAACCCTGAACAGTTGAGCAAGTATGGACACTACATTTAAGCTTAAAACAGCTCTGAATTTGGATTGTAATTGAATATTTGACACAGCATAGGTTTGTGACACAAAATGAATGTGGTTTAAGAACTGAAATACTTGAAATTGGACATTTAAATACCTATTATGGTCCAATATCAAAAATCTAAGTACATATTAGAATCAGCATATCAAAGAACCCCAAGAATTCATTTTTTGATGAAATCAGACAAAATTTTAATTTAAGACCCTTTGGACTTCAATGTGATATTCTTTCTTTAGGGATGAACCCTGAAACGAAAACAACATAATAGTATTGAAAATGCAATTTCGCATTAAAAAAAGACCCATTTTAAATTATATTCGATGGGTTATAACGGCTTAATGTTTTTTAAAACCGGATATGTCGTCTACATCACAATTTCACTGTAAAAACTATTAATAGCACATACATGTATACATGCAGAAATTTTATAAGTCTATTGCGTGTGGTTATACTATTATAACTTTACAATACAAATTACCAGTATTATATATGCACACATACAATTTCATTTATTAAAAGGAAAACGAAACCGGGCCTATGGCTAATACATGTATTCTCGGTCACACAATAATCTTTCATAAGCACATCATATTTTCTTATTACAAATACAATGTACCTGTGTATTTACGCACTTCTATATGATAAAAGTAATCTACAACATCGATAATTCACTACTTAAACGTAAAAAAAATCCTCGCTTACCTGCCTTCCAATCTATAACGTACTGTGTTTAAGCAATTACTTTAGTATTGTTTTCATTAACCTCAATACTACCCAGATGAACTGCGTATGAAGATTTGTAGTGATTGCTTATTATCCAGAAATATCCGAAAATACCCAAACTACTGTTATCTATTTGTGATCCTAGTTCATATATTGATATTTATAGACATTGCACACATTTAATAAACTAACAATAAGACGTATAATATTTCACGCTTTGTGATTTTTGTTTGTGCCAAATTTTTGTGTTTAAATTATCGATCGGTTGTCTCCGCCCATTCCGACCTTTGCTGAACGAGAATTGAAATTAAAAAAAGAAGATATAGGTCAATCACTTTGTCAATATCTAATATTGAATGAATGGAAGATCGGTGTTAATTTTAGACCGTTCTAATTCCTCAACTTGTATATAATTGATCATAAGGATACTCGTTCGTATCTAATATTGAATGAATGGAAGATCGGTGTTAATTTTAGACCGTTCTTATTTCTCAACTTGTATATAATTGATCATAAGGATACTCGTTCGTATGTGGAAATACGTTAAAATGAAATCCAAAACTTTCTCATTAATCCGAAAGTTGACATGAATTGCAATGTATATTCAACAATCAGCATGTTCAGTGGCAAATACTACATGCATATTCAGCACGTCCTCGAACCGGTTACCGGAAATGCATATGCAACAGGTAACACAGACACAAACATTATTCTATAAGAATGAACGCAGGTCATTCAACAAGCTGGCTAAGTAACTTTTTATGAGTGAATGCATAGCACCCTTGTCGTACAAACATACAAGCTGGGCCTTGTCACTCTTACATGTTTAAACGGTCTAAATAAATGCATAGTACCGTTATCGTACAAAACTACAAGCTGAGCCTTGCAACTTTTAAACTGTAGAAATGGATGCATGTCAACCTTTCCTGACATTATTCCGACCCTTTTCTCTTGAGTTTATTCCTATAGAGGAGCTATTTTATATTGATATGACCTGGTAGTGTCGTAACCCGTTTCTTACATTTTTGTTCAAAACAGAAATATGATTTTTACATATGACATTTGTAGAGGCATCTGGTTTATTATTATTTTTTCTCATGACAGACATTTTATTACTTTAATAATATATATATATATATTTATTCAGAAACAACCCCTTTACAACGGGGGAACTTGCGGACAGGGTATCAACAAATGCGTCTAACAGCATATGCAATGAATATATCATTTTCAAAGTTAAAAATTGGTACATTGTAAAATAAGACATCTTACATAAGAGAAATAAACATTATGTACAATATAAAAAATATGACCTAAACTACGAGTTACGTAAAACATATTACACATTAAATAACATTCAAAGTTTAGGTTCCAAAACCAATGATCTCTGAGAGTACATTTTGCTCAACATTTTTTTTTTACTTAAACTGTCCAAAGTTTTACTGATATAGGGATCAACCTGGTAAAAATAATCACCAATCAGTATTTGTATTTTATCGTAGGACGATAACTCTGTGAAGCAGAGGCCCGGGAAAGTAAAACTTAGATACTCATTTATATCAGTTAATTATTTATTTCGGATTGAAGAAAAGCCAGAACACTCTAGTAGGAAATGTTCAATAAACTCGTCAGAATTACATAAACACATTTGGCAAGTGGAACTCTCGCTAAGATTCATCCTATACAAGACTTGGTTCACAGGTAAACAATTTGTACGTGTTAACAATGTTAGTCTTGTAGACTTAAAGGCCGACAAATAGGGTTGCCTTCCTTGTGCAAAATTAAATTTGGAGAAAATATCTAGACTGCTTTTATCATTTATTTCTTGATATTCCCTTCTACGAACAAACCTTCCAAGAAACTGTTTAAATATATTGGAGTTAACATTCGAGTTGTAAAAGTGATCCAGACCAACCATATTAAATAAATTGATCATATATTTTGGATAATCCCACCCCCTTTAAAGCGTTAGGGACTTAATCTCTTCAAATACAATTGGACACAATTTACTTGTGTCAAGGCCTTGAATCCTAGCAAAATAAGACACCCTTTGTCAATCAAGAAAATCGTTTATTGGCTCCCATCCCAAGTCCAGGAAAAGAGCAGCTTTTGGGATATTCATCTTAGTATTAAAAATCAGTTTCGCCGTTTTATATTGCCATGTTTCAAGTATTTGTTGATTTGAAGCGGATGACGGTAGCCATACGGCACATCCGTGTGCCAGAGAGCATCCTCAAAAGATATGCGATTAAAAGATCCGTGCTCATTAAGTAACTTAGTCATATAATTCAGTTTGCGCTTAAAAATATCTTTTAAGAAATGATTGATATGGTAAGCAAAGGTCAAAGAGCGGGTAAAATAAACTCCCAGATATTTATATTCAGTAGTCTCGTCCAAATACTCATTTCCTAGGTACCATTTCTTAGTTTTATCTAAGCGTTTACCTACTATCATAATCTTGGATTTGTTTGGGTTAAACTTTAAATTCCACTTTGATGCAAATTTTGCTGTTATATCTAGCAGACACTGCAGTTCCTTCTCGGACTCCCCGATAAGGACTACATCATCAGCAAACATTAAACAGTTCAAAATTTGTGAGGAGAGCTCGACGCCCAAATTACTGGTTTCAAGCATATCTACGAGATCATTCATTAAAACAGAAACAAGTGTTAGGAGACAAAACACAGCCTTGTTTCAGGCCAAATTATTGGTCGAAGAAACCTGTTTCACTTAATTGCACCAAACAAGACTTTATTTGATACGTTTCTAAAAAGAGATTTGAGCAATTTCCAGCACTTGCCTTGAATGCCATTTTTCCACAATAGATAGAAAAGGCTATCTCGCCAGACTCTATCAAAAGCCTTGGACAGGTCTAGGAAAGCGAGAAACGTTTTATGTTTTTGAACTTTGCTAATAGAACAAGTACCTTGTAGTGTAAAAATATGGTCCTCGGTTCTTCTGTTTTTTCGAAATGCTCCCTAGACCTCGTCTAAAATATTATTTTCTTCCAAATGAGACATTACAGATTCTTCCAAATATTTTGCATATACTTAATAAACATTAGAAGTAATCGTGATGCTTCTAAAATTATCAATATCAGAAACAGATCCTGATTTATGTAATGGTTTGATGATGCCTTTTTGCCAATCATCAGGTACAGTTTCGAGGTCAGATATTATTGTGAAAAGATCAACAAGTGAATCAACTAGCGCATCCCCGCCAAATTTTAAGAATTTATTAGGAATCTCATCGATGCCACTAGCTTTACGCGACTTAAGGTTCCTTAAAATTAAAGCAATTTGTGGTCTACCTATATTTACTGAAATATTTGAATCGGGATAAACTTCGTCGTTATCAATACTCGAGAGAAAACCATTATCCTCATCTTGCATATTACATTTTATTGAAGGATCCTTACCTAAAGAATTAAAATGGCTGATTAAAACAGCACTTATGTCTTTCTCTTCCGTAAATAGTTCGGACTTATTTTTATTGTTCATAATCTGTTGAGGGGCAATACAATTAATTTTGCCTTTTAAGATATCCCAAAATCCTCTAACCTTATTGGACGAATACTCACATTTGTCATGAAATTCTTTCAATTTCAGGGTGTTTGCTTTTTTCTTTTGATAGCTTCTTGGACCTAAGCTTTTCGCACACGATAAGTGTCAGATAACATCTTACTAGTCTCACTATTACAGTCTCATATTGTGTTTAAAAATGAGTCTTGTATTATTTATTGTTATCAAGACTTTTCCTGATGCGATTTAGAATGGTTTTTTTAAATGAAGATCCTAAAGAGGAAGTATAGCTGCAACATAAAAGAAATATAGATTTGCACCTGACGAGTGCACATATGTTATGGTCGTTTCAATACAGCTTTTTTACTCAATTTTTGGACCTACAAATCCGTACAACACACTTACGTTTCGCTGAAATATAAGATCGGATTGTAAAGAACACTTTGCAATTTGAACCACGTTTCGGAAGGGTTCAGTTTATGATCTATATGTCACGACTTCCTGTATCTGGTTGGTATCTGCCGTTTGCCAGTCTGTCAGGATAGAATATATTTTCTTGATAATGTAAGATTCAGGCGCGGATCCAGCCATTTTGAAAAAAGGGGGGCAACCTCCGGAACATGATAAAACGTTAACATGATAAAATATAAAATCGAAAAAAGAGGGGTTTCAACCCCCGAAACACTCCGCTGGATTCGCCAATAAGATTGTCATATTTGAGAAAGGTTATATACAGATGATGCAGTGGATGTTGTGTCTTATGCAGGATGTACACTTTATTGCTTGTTTCTTGTCCATGCAAGGTATTGTCATGCAAATTATATTGGTAACGTCCAGTCGCAAGTATATGGACATATATGAGGATGGGAGTTGAGTACCCCATAAAACGAAACATGCCGATTTTTTTTAGCCTGTTTAATAACGTTAGCGACGAATCTTAAGTTTAACTCCGTTTGCCTTAACGGTACATGGAGCTGTAACAAAATGAAAATGTAAAATGAAGGATTTTATTACGTTAACGGTAGCGAAAAGGATCCGTTTAAAACTAGGGGACAACGGCCCCACTGCATGTTGTTTGTTGAAACTTGACCTTCCACTCCGTCTGCCTTAACGGTTGCTATAACAAATGTCACGGAAGATGGAAACTAAGTTTATTTCGACGCTAACGGTAGCGAGAAGAATCCGTTAAACGCTAGGGAATAATGGCCGGGCAATGCATTTTGAAACTGTAATAAACTGTATAAAAACATGTTAGCTATCAGGGCAGTATATTCATCATATAAGTGTCAGCAAATATTGCTCATGCTAACAATGTTTGTAATTACTGACCATATCACATATATACAACTGTGGCGATGATCACAATGTTTACACACACATTCTTATACGGTCAATGAACTATGACAACGTAGGTATATATACATGTAGAGAGGATGTGTAAATACACCAAAATCCATAATGAATACTTTATTGGATGGAAATCTTTAAACGCTGAATGGTCCTAGAATTATGTCTATTAAATACCATAGGAAAATGTATAGTTATATGCCGTGACTGTTTGGTCCTCACACCATTTGGGTTCCACGTAAGAATCTATGCGTTTAGCGTACAAAGTTATGAACATTTCTGTGGTATCCCTTTTCTCAATAGTATCAAAACATGGTAGAGGTCAAACCAATTGTAAATCCTTTAATAATACAAAACAGTAAGAGCTCATTTAACGGAAATATACTCCTTTTTTACTGTAAACGGTTAGAAG